CCCCCTCCCTCCCTCTCTCTCCCGCTCTCCTCCCTCTCTCCCGCTCTCCTCCCTTCCTCTCTCCCTCTCTCCCTCTCTCCCTCTCTCCCTCTCTCCCTCTCTCCCTCCCTTCTCCCCTTCATCAATCCCTCCACTCGTTTAGGGCTGCAACTCCATCTCTTGTCGGGGTGCTATGTTGCAAGCAGGATAGGGCTTGTGCTCCCTCCCTCCCTCCCTCCCTCCCTCCCTCCCTCCCTCCCGCCCTCCCCCTCTCTCTCCCTCCCTCTTGCCCTGTCCTTACCTCCCTCCCTTCCTCCTTACCTCCTTACCTCCTTACCTCCCTACCTCCCTACCCTCCTACCTCCCTACCTCCCTACCTCCCTACGTCCCTCCCTCCACCCTTCCCTCCCTACATCCCCCTACATCCCTCCTTTCCCCTGCATCCAAGTGGGATAGCACTTGTGCACGTCTGATATCGGAAGGAGTAGGCGGGGATCGTACCCGTGAATGCGAAGAGGCAGGGGGAGAGTGAACACTGCCGTCGTCACTCGAACACAACGCCCGGTCATTATAGCTGTATTTGGGGCGACTTTCCGTCTAGGTACGGCGATAATGACAGGGCGTTCTATTCGGGAGAAGGAACAGTAGGGGGAGGCGAGGTGACTGGTCAGGCGGGGAGGAGAAGGTCTCGTCGAAGTTTTGAGCACGTGGAGTGGCATCCCCATCATCCGCCGTCGAAGTTTTGAGGAGAAAGGATGAAGGCGGAGGATGATGATGCGGGGTCAGGAGGATGAGGGGGTCGGGATCTGGTCGGCCGGGATGGGGATGCGGTGACAGAGGAAGCAGAACGAGAGTCGTCCGGACAGGGACAAACGTGCAAGGTAAGATTGCCAGGATCAAGGAGTTTGTGGAGGAGGGGGAAAGACGTCGTGGAGGGCCTGAAGTTATGGAAGGAGGATGTAGGTTGGGGACCCAGTTTGTGAACAAGGGTATGGGCAGCGCGGATTGGGAGGGGGGCGGATCAGGGTGTGGGATCGAGAGGTGGAGGGGCTGAGCACGGGACGGGGATAGATAGATACGCCGTCTGTCCTGTAGGGTGTCCAACATTTCCTCATTGTACACATCCCTATCACCCAGATATACGTTGTCCCTATTGTGCCCAAGGACGCTATCAGAACTGTATGATGCCGCACTGTGATGAATGTCCTGCCGTGTTTTTGACATGTGGACAACACGTCCTCTGTCAGGACTGTTTTGATGGGATGGTTCGTGCTAGCCGTCCTGCAGAATGCTGTGCTGGCGCAGCTCTCCTTGGGCATCCTTGTGAACATCCACATCATCCTCACCGTAGCTGTCCTA